TGAAACTTGTATAATTATTTATACAAAGATTTTTATTGAAGATATGTGTTTTCATTTCTCTTGGGTGGGAGTACTGGTATTGTAAGTTTAAATTTGTAAGAAACTGCCAGAGTGGACTGGGAGGGTCTTATGCAAAACATTGAAGAGTAGTCAACACTACACAGATTTGAAACCATAATCCAAGCACCCAGCAAAGCAAGTACAGCTAGAAATACTTAATAAACAGCAATGACCAGAATCTGTCAAAGCCCAGAGTGTCTGAGGGAAGGTGGTACAATGGAGACAGGACTATGGTGGGGGCTCGGACATGCCCAGCACCCGAGGGAGAGACTTCTGTCCTTTGCCCTGCTGTTCACTCGGGGGCCTTGGAAACACCATCTCACTTTCCCAGAACATTTATAAAATGACTGACTGGAAGTCAACATTTTATATACTAAGAAAATAAGTTAATAAAATCAACAAACTTTGGGGGAGGGGACTATACAATTGATACAAGAAACAATTGACCTGAACCAGTTTCAAATGAACAACATACAGAGAAAGAGGGCTAAAACTAACCCAAATAATGAAGATTATTTACTACATGCCCTCAGGCTCAAGGCAGGAAGGTCTTGAAACATATATTGAATTCTAATTAGGCTTTTTTCAGAAATAGGTAATTTTGAAATGACATCGCGTACATTATAGGATTGAGCAAATAAGTAAATACACTGTGGATAACAGCAGAAGAGTTTCTCCCTGTTAGGGAGGAGTTATTGTATATAAATATTGAAAGGGGGAAGGGTAGACAGTACCTGGGGATTCTTTGTTCTATTGGGCAACATTTTTCTAAGTCTGAAATTACGTAAAAAAAAAAAATGGTTGGACTGCCTCTTAAATTCCCTTTTATTAAAAATCACCTGGGGCTTTGACAAAAATTTAAAGCTCCAACCTCCCTCCCTAAACCCTTGAATATTCATTCATCTGTTCGTTTGGGCCTGAGAATGTGCATTTTACATCAACTACATTTTTGAGAGCCTGGATTAAATTATCTTTGAGGTCCCTTGTTCTATGCCTTGGAGGTTGCAAAAGTTAAGCTAGTTTCAGAAATCTCTTGCTGAAATGAAGAGAATAGGTGTGATAACTCTCTTTGAAGTACATTTATATACAGGGTTGGAACATTCATACCATTATTAAGGGGGCATAGGAAAGCTCCTTAGCAATCTTCCAGGAAGAATATTCAGGAGAAATTAAATTCTTCTTCCAACATCAAGTCATCCAGACATCTTCTGGAGTTATGTCAGGAATCAGTGGCCAGATTTCCATCCCTCCAACAGGACAAGTGCGTACTGGCCTTTGCAGTCCCTGCTACCTCAACCTGAAACACTTCCCCGGACACTGGTGCCTTTCTGTCTGTTGTCTTTCCTTGGATGTCAGATTATCAGAGCGACCATCCACTCTCACCTGCCCTACCCCATCCCTCCCTGTTCCTTCGCTAGACTATTTCTTTTTAAAAGGTTTTATTATTATTTAGAGAGAGGGGGAAGTAAGGGAGAGAAACATCAATGTGCGAGAGAAACATTGATTGGTTGCCCCTCACACACCTCCAGCCAGGGACCTGACCTGCAACCCTCTTAGTTCGAAGTCCAGTGCTCAACCTACAGAGGCACACTAGCCGGGGCAAACTTATTTTCTTTATAGAACTTACCATGATCTGAATTTATCTTGCCTGACTGACTGATCAGAACATGAGCTCTGTGAGGGAGGGACAGGGTGGGTTTTGTTCACTTTTGTGTCCCCAGTTCCTAGGACAATGTTTGCTCTATATGTACCAGGCACTGAGTATTCACTGAACGATTCAGCAGTGCCCACATGAACAGGTAAATGAACGTGTCTGCAGTGTGGTAGATGAAACATAACCAAATCAAATGGGAAACAAGACAACGGTTTTATAATAAATAAACTTTATTTATTTCTCCCACAGTTTAAGGAAACCAGACACTGAAAGTACATTTCTGAGTTTAGAAATGGATCTTTGCCTTTTCATCCATTATGGACCATTGACCAGAAAATCAGAGGCTGGCATTCATATAACAAGAGTACAATGCTTCACCTAAGAAGGGTATCATGGCCAAAACAAGTCTGGGACACAGTCGATCCAAATGAAGTGCTTTTCCAGTGTATCTGACAATACCATTCTATTCCACTCCCCTCCCTCAGAACCTCTCATATGACCAGGGTTCCACAAAAAAAAAACCAAACAAAAAACCAAAAAAACAACTTTGAAAAAGATTGCAACAAAAATATTTAACTCACTTTGTTCCCAAAAGTTTCTAAATTTCCCACTTCTAATTCTAATCAACAACTACGAACACTTCAACAAAGAAGATGGACTGTTACTCTCTGAAAATTGAGCAAGAGAAAATTAAACTCTACGATGTGTAAAGGGAGATACAGTTGACTATATGGCCTCATTCAAACTCAGTTAAGTGTTATCACAACTGTAATGGCTGGTAAATTTTAGAGTTCTGTTTCTCAAGCAGGGGGTAGGGGAAGAGGGGCATCCCATTGGGAGTGACCCTGCCCAGCCCCCCATCATCATCCCTTTTAGGACAGTGCCCAGGTCAGCAGCTGACACCCTTGGGAGGGTGGCACATCTCTGAAGTGCACTGAGACATTACGATTTTTTTGAGAACTATATTTAAAAGCTTCTTCCCAGAGAGGTCTTCCACTGACCCACTGCCAACCTTTTTGACTTTCTGGGATGACTTAGGCAAAACGATACCCACTTCAGACTTAATACTTAATGATAATTCATATATTTGAACTCATTCTCACTACACATTAGAAGCTTGTACATCAGTGTAATGCAAAGTGTTATAAAAGTTTAATTTGTAACACTGTCCAAAAATATACAATGGAACTAAGTTTACCAAACTTATAAAAACATTGTGAAACACTGGATCTTATTTTGTTGATTGAAATTTTTCTTTTCATCATTAGGCTTGACAAAATAAACACAACCAAAGATTGAATAATCTAAAAGCCCTTCAGATTAATCACTTGTTATCTTCCAACCATGTCTAAGCTAAAAGAAAAATATGACTGTACTGTTAAAAACAAGAGAATTTGAAAGCCTTCATGTCTTTGGCATTACTAAAATAGGGTATTTAAAGGTTGTTCCTTTTTTTCACTATAAAATTGAAGTTACAGTAAGATGAAACGGAAGCCCACTTACCCTGCTGGAATAAAATTTCACCAGTGATTTGAGATTGTTGCTAAAACACCAAATTTTGTCATTTACAACATTTTGCAATTAATGTATTGATATCAAAAATTTACCATATAATTTTGTCAGGTTACTTTCCCCAGAGGAAGTAAACAGATAATAAAACAAATGAAATCATATTTCTTGATCACTATCATCCAATATAAATTGTTACTTGTCTTCAGAAGATTGGATGATGAGCTATCTACAAGGCCATTCGACCTGGGCCAACTAACCACAAAGGCGGCATTCTAAGACACGGGGGTGTTCCTGAGTCAGCAAAGAGGACGCTGCACAGCCCCTCAGCCATTAGCAAGTGCAGATTAGGGATTGATGGGCCTCGGCTGACAATTGCTTTGCGTCAACATTTCTGTATCCTCTGAAAATACCACGAAATACTGAACTTCAGTAATGTAACAGATGAGAAAATGCTCAGTGTTTCAGTGCTATGAAGAGTAGAAAATGGGGAACACATCCTTAAGTGGTGAGTTGCTAAAAATTACACCAATGAAATCAAAGCTGATAAGCCCAGTCAGTGCCTTCTGGGATTCCTGACACCAGCATTTTTTTCAGGTCTGGCCTGTGGCCCTTCTTCATTAGAGCCACGTGAGGACTTGCTCCAGTGCAGATTCCCTCTCGGGAACCTACATTTTACAGTAGTAAAGCAGAATTTCCTGGGATTTGCCTGGGAGTCTGCATTTGTCACAAGCTCACCCAGCATTTCAGATTCTTGGGGAAGCTTGAAAAATCACCACATTTGACCAACCCTTTGGCAAGGTCTTTAGCATCCTCTGCACATGAACATTAACATTTGCGCATATCTGAAGTGCTGAAGCAACATCAAATGCATGACGTCCCTAAATACAGTGCTGTCATTGATTTAAAAGGTGACCAATAAGCAGGACCAACAGGGATGAACTCAGCCAACTCCCATGGTGTAACATGTTTTGCCTTCATTGCATAATACTTTGCAGCATCCAACAGGCAACAAGAAGTCAGAGCAAAACAGAACACAAGACAAGTGTGGACTTTTAAGAAAATCCAAATACATAGTCCAGAATGCAAATCCATTGACATGGGAATTTGCACTTGGAAGCAAAACAGACCTGAGAAAAAAGAGGGCTCTCTTTCTATTCATGCCCTTCACTAGGTGGGAAAAGAGAGAAGACCCCCTTCTCAATCCAGGTCTCTTTCTTCATTCCGGAATGGCTTTCCAGTCTCCAGTGCTCCCACAGACCCAAGTCCCTCTTTCTAAGGTCCCTTGCCCCCTGACCTTCCTGGCTTATCCTCCTCCACTGTGGGAGCTCTTGGGAGAGGTTTTGCTACATGAAACTCATCAAATGAAGCAAGTTTCATTTTTAAAAAGTAATACTACAAGGGTTGTAAAGCTTAATCTAACTGTTTAACAGTAAAGCTACAAAGTCAGTATGCTCAACCCAACTGTTAAAATAGAATTGCAAAACTTATTTTAAATAAATTTAAAACTCAATGAAATATTAATGATTTGCTTGAACAAGGACTTGCTTGAACCCATGTTCCCCTTTTAAAACCACACATTACAGAATCAGTGCACATTTAGAGAAATTTCCCCCATTAAATGCCTTATTGATACGAACCCACTCAAAAATGCCAAGACACCAATCATTACGAATATTTTAGGCCAGTGTAAGCTGGTACCATACAACTGGCTTGTGGTGGTTAGGATGTTGTAGTTTAATGTTGACATCTGGCACAAAAAAGCTTAGGGTCTGAATCACATTTCCTTTTTATGTGGTTCTGGCTCAGGCATCCGATACAGAGCAGCTGAGAAATAAATTATGTTGCTGAGGCTGAAGATGAGGCACAGAAGTAAGGCTCCGGCTATCTGAGGAAAAGACAGGGCCCCAGAGCTGGCCAGGAGCCATTCCTTCCTCAGGGTCTTGTCCAGAAGTATGGCTTCCATCTGCATGTGCGTAGCCAGGATCACACACACATGGAACAGCTGGTGACTGTGACCTACAGCAAGTATACAAAAGGCCACCAAGATCAGCAATAAAAAAAGGAGAGACTATTGATACACACTATGGCCTGTATTCTAAAGCCATCATGCTGAGTGAAAGAAGCCAGACACGAGAGATACATACTGTATAATTCCATTCATATCACTTGTCCAGAAAAGGCACGTCTATAGAGACAAAATGTTGATTGGTGGTTGCTTGGGGCAGGGGGTGGGCGTGAGGATGAATAGCATATGGGCATGAGGGGTCTTACTGGGGTGATAAAAATGTCCTAAATCTCATTTATGGTGATGGTTGTACAACTTGGTAAATATATGAAAAGTATCATTAAATCATACTTAAAATTAGGGAATTATGTGATATATAAAATAAGCTTCGATAAATTTATTTTTAAAATGTATTGTGAGAAAAATAAAAAGGCCATCAGAGCAAACCAAGTTCACCAGTCCTGTTTTCCACATGAAAAAGTTAGGCATCATGTTCTGCCAAAGGTCATCTTGCAAGAGCCAGTGCGAATGAGCTGAGATTCTGACCTCAGTGCCAAAGAAGAAGCCACCGAAGTCTCTGTTGGCCATTTATGAGGGCGTCCACTTCCTACTGCTCGCTAATCGCAGACATGGCCAGCAGCTCTTCCTCCCCATGGCCTGCAAGACCCCAGCTCACCGGATGCTTTCACAGAGGGTAGGGGGCTCAGTAGAAGGTGCTGGGAGTGGGCAGGGACAAGCGAATTCACTGGTTGATGAGAAAAGGAGACCATTGACAGGGCTGGGGACTGTTTTGGGAGACAACCTTCAGAAACCAGGGGTAAGATGGGAAGACCACATGTGTCATGAGCTGAACTGTCTTCCCTCTTCCATATTCATATGTTGAAGTCCTAACCCCCAACACCTCAGAATGTGACCATGTTTGGAAATGGGGTCTTTTAGACATAGTTAAGTGAAAATGAAGTCACTAGGGCAGGGACCACTGTACCTGGTGTCCTTATATAAGAGGAGACTAGAATGTGGACATACATGTCCAGAGGGAAGCCCACGTGATGAGAGATGAAGGCGGCTGTCTACAGGCTGAAGAGAAAGGCCTCAGAAGAAACCAACCCACTGACACCAGGATCTCAGGCTTCTAACCTCCAGGACTGTGGGGAAGTGAACTTCTGTTGTTTAAGCTGCCCTCTCTGTGGTTCTTTGTTATGGCAGTCCCAGGAGACTAATACAACACAGGAGTTAAGTAAGGATTGTCTTTCAGTAAAAAACAAAGGGTTCAGTGTTGTACCCCAGGACTTAACCAGGAAGGGACCAGTCTGGCCACCTGCACAGCTGGGCAGAAGCAGGGTTGGAAATGAGAGTGCCCCCGCGTGGTCGATGAGTTTCTTATGGCAGGGAGTAGCCCCTGCGAAGAAGGTGTGTTTAAAGGTACCACCCCTGCCTCACTCACACTGTACCAACCGGCTGTGTACAGTTTCCAAAATCTGTGGGTGATGCAGCAAAGTGGCTTTTTGTCCAGCAGAGTCATGCTCTCCAAGGACACAGGGCCAAGCAGAGAGAGGTGGCTAGCTGTGCTCGCCAAAGGAGGCTCAAACCTGTCTCCATGAAAAGCCGGAAGAGCCCTGAGCCCTGGACGTACCGGAAATGCGGCTGCAGCAGGAAGACTGCTTTCAGCAACCCCACCTGCCAGGAATAGGGAGGAGCTTCCTGTGGGCCAACACTAACCAGCACTTCCCACTCGGGCTGGTGGAGGAGTCCCACAGCCAGTGGACTCAGTGATTTAATGATCTGCCATTAACTGCTGTCTGGCGAATTTCTCCCTATAGGGATGTCTTTCTGCTCTGTACCACTAGCCCAAGAGGACAGGATAGAGGTGAAAAAATAAAATGTCACTAAGCCAGGGAGATGGTAAATAAGGCCCAGGGCTGTTTTTCTGGCAGCCCCCAGATTTCATCCACAGTCTCCGCTGCTTCATCCTGCTGGGGCTGGGGCGGTGGGTATGGTTAGTGGGTTCCTGTAGGTGGCCCTGGCCCTCTTGTCTCCCTTCTTTTCTGAAATCTGCTCTAAGCATTTTGTTTGTTGTAATCTTTCCAGCAGGAGAGATTAAGTAAAGATGATAAAACTCTAATCAGGATGAACAAAGCAAATCTGGCCCTGTGTCTTATGTGGGAGGTGATGGAAAAACTACAGACAGAATGGGCTTGGAAGGAAGCGAGGTTCCTGCCCACCGCATGGGTCCCCATGAGAGCTTGTCTAAGGGGCTCCCTTCCCAGCACACGTCAGCCTCACCAGAAGTGACCCCAGGGCCTCCTCCCAGAGCCACGGTGGTGGCGGGGGGGTCGCATTCAGCAGTGCTCGCCCCACTTCCCTAGACAGAGGGGGTGAGGAACTCTACCAACAGGTGTAAACCCTGTGGCTCTGACACCTCCTTGTCACCACATCACTTCTTTAACTTTAGTGAGCTCAGGCTCACGAGAGAATCACACAGCCTCTGAGTGAGCGCTGGGCCCCACCTCCCAAGTTTGTGGTTTGAGATGTCTGGCATAGGGCCCGAGAACCTACATGTTCCCAGGCGACGCCGAAACTGCTGGTCTGGGAACCATACCTGAGAAACCGCCCCTCTACCCTGACTCCTGGCCTCATCGCACCCACCTGAACAAGACAAAGGCAGGAACATTCCCCTTGGCACAGCCCTGCACAGCACCTGGTGCCCTCAGAGCCACGTGTACCCTGTCTTTCCTCTTCCTCCCCAGGGATGCCCTCAGTGGCCATTTAATAATGGGATTTCATATTCTAGGTGATAATTGGACTACCTTGGGCCCAAAGGAATGCTTTCGAGTCAGATCCATCTGCTCTCCCGTCTTCCCTGGCCATTTGCTGGCTACATACATTCTGGATGCTGTGAACTCACACTTGCACTCACCTTGGCCTGCACCTGGAGAACTTCCTGAAGGCCTGCTTCTCTCCCTGCCCCACCTCCCCTCTCCAGCTGCATCACTGGCGCCAGGGATGGGAGCCCTCCTCGGGCTGCAGGGTAACGGCGCAGAGTGACTGCACACTCACCGATGTAGTCGAAGCATCCAGGGGCCAGGCGCTCTGGCAGGTGTGCAGAGTAAAAGAAAGAGGCCAGGAGAGTCATGGCCACGTGCTTCTGGTGGTACAAGGTGGCTTCATTCTGTGCGCTCTCCCCTGGGAACACGAATAGCTGCAGGTGTTTAAAAGAAACATCAGGTCTTGAGAGAGGCCCCCTTCCTTGTCATCACCTGCAGGCATCTTGGCACACGTGTGCGGACTCTGCAGGCCAAGGCCCCCACCTCCTCAGGGCTGTGGCTTGGAAAGGGAACTCTCACGGAAGGTGTGAGCAGAATTCCTACTCTGAGAGGGAGCCGTTGAGATCCAAGGCAATTGTATTTTAATCCCCCAAATGCTCAAGAGAAGCTTTTGAGATAATTACAAAAAGAAAAAAGAAAAAAGGAAGGAAAACAAAAGAGAACAGGAAAGGAAATGAAATGAAAAACCCCAGTAGGTACATTCCTATTCTTTTTTCCTGAGGTAATGTGTAAGTTTAGTAAGAAGTGATCATTTTAGTCCTGGTCGTGTGGCTCAGTTGGTTGGAGTGTTGTCGTACACCAGAAGGTTGTGGGTTCAATCCTAGGTTGGGCGCGTACAGGAGGCAACCAATTGCTATTTCTTTCTCACATCATGTTTCTCTCTCTCGTTCTTCATCTCTCTCTTTCTCTCCCCCCTTCCTCTCTCTCTAAAATTTATAAATATATCTTCAGGTGAGGATTAAAAAATACATTAAAAGAGAAGTGATCATTTCACATTTGAACTCACTTCTAACCAGCACATCCCCTGAATGGATACTCCTAACTAAGACTTCCAGGTTTAGCAATTCCTCAAAGGCCTTCTGAGTCATCAAAAAGTATTACTTATAGCCATGATACTGTTTCAGAGTTAAGTATAGTTTTTGTGTTATTGTTATAAATAACCACAGCAGCCACCACCCTCATAGGGCACAAGGCCAGGCCTTTTGTTTGCATCATTTCATGGGCATCTCAACAATTGCCGTAAGGCAGATTCTATTTCCCCATTTTGCAGATGAGGAAGCTGGGCTAGGAGGTGACCTGCAAACCACTAATGAGAAGTGAAGTCAGGATCTGGATCCAAGCAGACTGATTCCAGAACCCGTGTGCTCGTCAACATCACCATTTAGGGTCAGGCCTCCCTCCGTACTGCCCTCTGCAGCTGTGTGCCAGGAGCCCATTGTGCTGGTCATAACGCAGAACCTCAGCTGTGCGGTTTGGTGGTACGTGGGACCTGCTTGGTCTCTTTGCTCTAGTTTCCTGTGCATGGTCTGTGTCCCCAAGGAAGGAATGAAGGGGAATGGGCTGCGCCCCCATCTCTGGGTCTCTCCAAGGCCCACACGAGTGAAGCACAGGGTACGCAATCAGCGTTCAAGCTGGGGGAGCCCCTCTGCCCCTCCCCTTCACTCCTTGGCACTGCCATCTCGGTGGCCGGCACCGGGCCCACAGGCTGCCTCGGGGAGGGGAGTGCTACTCACTGGGCTCTGACCGTGTGGCAGGCATCGCTGAGCCCCACCGCTCTGCTGTTTTGACTAATCCCTCTACCCGCCGGGGAAGTGGGGGATGTTAGTCCCATTTGCAGATGAAACTGAGGCTCAGAGAGGTTATGTGCACTGTCTAAGGTCACACAGCCAGTGAGCAGTGGGACTGGGATTTGAACTCAGGCCCATCTGTTTTGAGAGTGCATGGACTTCCTTCCTTCCATTCTTTCCTCCTACACCCTCTTATTTTGTGCTCTCCATGTAATTCCCCTCTTTCCTTTAAGACCTTCTTTTCCCATCATTACTATTAATACATTCATTGATGATAATATTTAATAATGCTCTCTGGGGACTCTTGCTGCCATCTCATGTGACCCTCCCACAGCCTGGTGACGGCAGGTGTTACCATGCTCATTTCACAGATGAGAAATCAGGGCACAGAGATGATGGATAACTTGCCCGAAGGCTCCAGTGAGTCAGTGTTAGACATTTGTCTTCAGAGCCTATTCTCCTGGCCACTCCACTAAGCCCCAGGCTGCCTCCCGTGCCCAGCCCTCTGCCACTGATTGCTCCTGAGCCCCCAGGCAGTGCCCGTGGCTGGCACGGCTCCTGTGGTTCCTCAAGGCCTCTGTGTCACGCTGTCTCCTAACTACTCTGCAAGTGCCAATAGGGAAGCACCCGGGCCTCCACTCCTGTGTGTCCTATGGTGACCAGCATGGCGCTCTGACCCCCAGGAGCTCAGGGAACAACTGGCCCCCTACTGCCACCAATGGGCGGAGGAGGCGGTGCAGGTGGAGCAGGGCCCTTACCCTGTAGAAGATGGGGAGCGAGTCCCAGGTGTAGGGATAAGCAAATGCGAGGACACGGAGTATCTTACAGAGCCTGGGCTGCTGGAGTTCCAGAAACCTAGATCGGGGACAAAAGGGTTGGGGAGAAATGGGAATGAAAAGGGTGTCAGTAAATTACACACAAATGCAAAGTAAAAATAACCAAGGGCGAGCTGCCCAATGGGAGGTGAGCATTTCTGTACAACCTCCTCCAGCAGCTTCTCCTCCAGCCTTTTCCTTCCACCTACCTCCCACCTCCCATGGGTGTGGTTCAGTGTCAGAGGTGACAGGATCTCAGGGGAATCTGTCCCCCAGGACCATGAGAAGCCATGGTACCCAGACAACACCAGCGAGGAGTATTCGGCAGGAGCCCTTCAAGCACCAAGTTATCTAATTGCCAAAGAGCCTTTTAGAAAGCAGTGACCACCAGACCAGGGAGACGTGTGGGCGTGGGCGGCCGCAGTGGCCCAGGCCCCTAGGGCGAGCACATCTGTGAAGGTTGAGATGCCCAATTAGTCAGAGTCACCAAGGTGATTACCGCGCAGAAGCCTTGCTTCAATTAGGTGTTTAATCACTCTGAGGAATTCCTAAAATATTTAATGCCACACACAGGGATGCTATTGGCCCGGGGAAACTGAGTCAATGAGGTTTTTCCTTCTCTCCTTATCACCATCCTCACCCACTTCCAACCCAAAGACAAGTGAGGTCAACATTAACATGCACTGTGCTGATTGTCACAGACAGGCAGGTCCTCCGGGATGGAACAGGACAGGGCCTCGGCTGACCTGGGCCTGGCCTGGAGCCGGGGCAGCAGCTAAGGGTGGGAGGAGCAGACCAGCACAGATGGCAGAGAGGGCATGGGAGGGGCAAGGAGAATGCCCGCGCAGAGCCACAGCTCTGGACTGGGGCTCAGGTACAGGACTGCTCATGCACCTGGGACAGGTGGCGGGGCAGGTGCCCGCTTCAGTACCGCGGTGTGTTGTGGAGGGCTGGGTCCTCCCTCGGTGCCCACAGGGCTGCACAGGTGATGTGCAGGCCAGCATGCCAAGGCTCATGGGGCATCTGTTCTGGTGTGTTCTGTAGGACGATGGAGGCCCTCGGCCCTCTCAGCCTTCCCCACTCTTCTGACCACTGTCATGCTCTCCCGAGGGGACAGGGTTTGTGCCCCGCCACCGTGCCTCACCTCTGCTCCCCGAAACCTCTTGCCCAGCCCACAAGCCTGCACCTTCTCCCCCAGACAAGGTCTGTTGCTCCCCCGAGCCCAGGTCCATTTTCCCCAGCCAGGTTGTCCACGTGCCCTATAAGCCGGTGCAGGTGCCTGATCAGTACCCGTTGCTGCCCATATCCTTAGGCGTGGGACATGGCAAAGACTCCCTCATCTGCCTCCTGGGTGATTGGCAACCTTCTCAAGGGCTGGAGCTGGGTTTGCCCAGGTCTGGATTTCCCGAATGCAGCTCAGAAGCATGTGTGAGGTCCTGGGCAGAAGACACAGTCTGCCAGGCTGTGTTTGCCGAGCCCTCAGGGCAGCCGAGCACGGGGATCTCTGTTATGGGACCTGAGAAGCCTCACAGACTCCAGAGACAAGCTCCAACTTCACTCGAGCTCACTGGCATATCTGTCCTTCTTTCCTGGCCCTGCTCATAAAGCAAAAAAGCACACGGCAGCACACAAAGTGGAGAAGAAAGAGAAGCTCAAGGAGAGGGAGGAAGAGAAATAAGGGACCTCAGTTCATCATCGCCCCAAACAAGAACCCCAGCCTTGGAGTAAACCACAAACCCCAGGATAGGTGGAGCAGCACAGTGCCATGACCTCGCATGCAGTGTTTGACCTGGACAGCCTGGGTTCGAATCCTGCCTCTGCCCTTCATGACCGTGTGACTGCAGGTCATGTAACCTTTGTGCACTTCAGAATCCTTGTGTGTAACAGAAACAACAACTGTATCCCCTCACGGGCTTGCCGCGAAGATGTGATGAAATGATCAAGAAGCTTGTAACTGTGCATAGCACAGAGTGACACTCACTAAATGGCAGCTTTTACAACAAGGTGTGTCATGGGACCCATTCTCTCTACTTTCCCATCTTGTAGCCACGTTGTACAAGAAAATAAAACAAGACGGAACAGACTGGTACTGGGTGATTTGTCTAAAGACAGATGACTAATCAGAAGCAAAGCTAGGATTTAAACCCAGGGCTGTCTGGCTCCCATCTCACACCCCCACCCTCCAGCAGGCTGAGCAGGCCTCAGAGCACCACCCAGCCTTTGTTTGTCCTTACCTAGGCCCCTCTGCCCCAGGGGGCAAACCGAACATAACCCCTCGACCCCAGGAGCCAGGGCAGGTCTCAACAGCCTCCTCATCTCCCCTGGCAGATCCAGTCAACCACAGCAAGCCCACTCCCTCCATCCCCACGCACTTCCACCCCGTCCTTCCTGGGTTAAGAGGGGCTCCCTGTGAAAGCATGCTCTTTCTGCGGCCACTTACACAGGAAGAAAGCTGGCTCTGGTTGGTGAGGGCCATCTCCCAAAGCATGAATTTTCTGTGACTTGAGACAACATTTCAACCAGCCCGATAAAGTGCTTTCCCAGGGGCAAATGAATCAGCCTCTCCGACTGCAATGCTGAGTCTACAGGGGAAAAAAGGAGAAAAAGCAGAACAGAAGAGAGACAGCAACAGAGAATAAAAAGCAGAAAGGCCAGCAGCCACAGAGAGGGGCCTCCCACTACCAAGGTGCAATTCCAGGCCAGGCCACAGGGTGTCGCCACAGTCAGAGATTCTGCCGGGGAAGGGCCAGAGCCACAGGCTCCTGCAAAGCAAGCACTCCACGCCTCAAAGCCCCGCCTGGCAAGGCAGTCCCTGCACCCTAGGGTTGAGGGCCAATTTGCAGGGAGTCAGGCCTCCTCTGCCTAGAACCAGGAAACACCAGATTTCAGGAGAAGGCTTCATCAAGAGGGGACCGATGACTTACCAGCCTGTTTTAAAACCTGATCATTCTTGTTGCAACAAAGCCGGAAGGACTTGCCAGTGAATTCTGGAATTAGTGCTTCAAACTAGTGGGCCTTCGGAAACACCATGCTAATGCTGAGGGTGTGCGCGTGCGTGGGTGCGTGCATCGTTACGGCTGTTTTATTGTTGTCTGGGTGACGCTGCAGGGGCGTGGACATTTCCACGTGCTGGCCCTGGCCCTGGTGGCATTTTGTCATCTGGCTGAGCCCCCTGACCTCCAATGTGCCTTGAGAACTACTGTCTGCCGAGCCTACTGTTTCCAGCTCTGACCTCCACACCCCCGCCCAGGCCCCTCCTCGCGGCTCAGACTTGCCACGGCACCAGGCCATGGTGTGGCTCTTGTGGGGATGACAACCCCTTTCTGTTCCTTACAGCGCTGACCACGAGGCATTACACAGAGCAAATACTGTCAAATAAACCCCCAAAGGCTGAAGGCTTTGGACGGATAACGAGGAAGGTCCCTACAGTGACTTGCGATGCACAGAAAACCCTGTGTAACCCCTAAGGGAGTGGCACCTTCCTGGGCTCTTGGGTGGTCCGCAGGCAAGAGCAGGCTGGGCCTCCATCACCCCACCTGGCTCTGAGAACCATGGAGAGGTCACACATCCCTTCATTTCCCCTCTCAAATGCTACAGAACAAGGAAGCAATTTTCTGGAACATGTTCATTTGAAATAAATTCCATGGTAATAAGGACCAAAAACCCAGCCAGGGGAGTCCACAGTTCTCTGTGCGGGGATTTACCTTAAGGATAAGGTAAATGTGTACTGTGATGGAATGAATGGCATTTAGACTGTGATATTCTTGTGAGCATGTGACTACGTGGAAAGCTACTAACAGGCTTCACAGTCTCCTGTTGTGCTCAGGGAAGGAGAAGGTGGTTGGTTTTTCACGGCTCCTGACCATACCATAGACTAAAGGAGCAGGAGGGAGAGGCAGGAGAGAAATCTTGGAAAAGACACCGGCGTAGTTGAAGGCCCAGGCCAGAAAGAACCGGAGGACGTCTTCTCAGATGCCCTTGCCTGAGGTGTGGACACCGATGCCCAGAGGGGCAGTGATGGCCACATAGCACGTCTGTGAAATCCGGGAGATGGCCCTCACCCTCCTCTCTACCTGCTTCTCCTGAAGTTAATCAGGGCCAGAGTCACTCGCTGCCCTTGTCATTCTTTTCACTCCTCAAATATGGAAGACAACGAAGACAGGGATTGAAAACAAAGAGGACAGGCCTTGTAAGATCAGGGAGGCCACCAACGCGGAAAGGAAGAGGACAGGGGAGGAGGAAGCCTAAGGGCCTGAACAATGGGACATGCCGCTCTACCTCTGGCTCAGAGAATGTGGAGTTTGCCCCCTTTCTCCCCTTCTGTTCCAGCACAGCCCCCTCGCCTGTGGTTAACACACTTGAGAGCCCCTCAGGATCACAGGGCCAGTCCCCACACAAGGGGCACTTCAAATCCCCAGCCACCTTTGGGCCCCTCTCTAGCTGCTCTTTCCCTTCCAGCCATGTGGGCTCTGGCAGCTCTGAAGCCCCCTGCTGCCTCCCAGTCCAGTCCCATCCCCTCCGGCCCCCCGATCCTTGACCAGGCTGTTTGCTGTGTCCACAGGTCCTCCTCTCCTCTCCAGCTTAAGTGGTTAGCCTCCCTCAGAACTCAGTCCTAATGCCACTTCGCAGAACCCTGGTTATCCACGCGGGGGCCATTTTGTAGTATCATTATTTGTTTATGCTACATTCTGTAATGCTGCACTTTAAAGGCTATTTCCCCAGGGGGTTGCAGCCTGCCTCTCTGAAGGCACGAGGCGTTCTCTGAGGGCAAGGACTGTGCCTCACACCTGGTATCCCCAGATCTTAACGCGATGCCTGGAACATGGCAGGCATGTAAAACATGTTGAGTGACTGGTTGGTTGGATAGATGGACAGATGGAAGGGTGGACGGGTGGGTAGGTGGCTGGATGGATGGATAGATGGTTAGATATATCGATGGATATTTGGATAGATAGGTGGATGGAATAGCCATAGATGTGCTCATAAATAACCAGGGATAATTCATTCCACTGACAAAGGAAAATCCCCCAAACATGGGCATTCAAGAGGTTCCCAGCCAACTGGCCCTGCCAAACAAGTTTGTCCAAAGGCACTGGGCTTGCCCCACGCAGAACACCCATTCACTGTATCTGAACAATCGGGGGTGGGGTGGGGGGCTGCTGGCTAGAAGGAAACAGTCTACCCTGGTGGCTTACAGGTAACTCGGAAAGCTTTAGGGAAAAAAAAAGCAGCAGCAAATGTCCCAAGGATTTGCCCTGGGAGTTCATGGGAAGGCGGTCCTAGGTCCTGTGCTCTGGGACCACTCCTCCCACTGCCACAAAGCCTTCCCTCAGCCCACAGTGCTTTCTGCCCTTTGATCCTAAATTCCAGACACCAGGGCTACGTGGCCCTGCAGGGGCTAATCCGACAGGAGAGGGACTAGTCCCAGGACCAGATCCAGGTGTGTCTGGGTCCCTGGGCCTGGCCCTCGGTGAGCCTGTGCACCCAAGCACAATGCCTTGCAGGTATGCTTCACCTCTCTTGAGTGGTTTTTGGCATCCTTGTTACTTTTCTATGTGTGTTACTCCTTGTCTCCCCCAAGGCAGGGACCCGCCCTCCTCTCTCCATCAGCTCTGTGGCCCTCCCAGCTCCGGCCTGGCACTTCAGAAAGAGCTTTTAATCACCAGTGTCCTTGAGGGATGGGGAGATAAGGAAGGAAATAATCACCCCATGACATCTGATTCTATTTCTTACTCTGTGGAGAGACCCTATCTCCTTACAGCTTTAGGGGAGCTTTGTGATTTCCAAGAAGAAGGAAGAGAGAGTTTATCCCCAACTCCTATGCCCAGGCCTTTCCACAGGGTGAAGCAACACAAAACCCGATGTGGAGACTGCGCCTAGAAACGAGATGTTCACAGAAAGCAACTGCACGCTCCAACCTGTCCTAGGACAGGTAAGTGGAAGGCATGTTAGGGCAGGTATTCCTGTGCTGGTTTAAGAATCTACCTTTCCATTCTTGAAGAAAACCAGTTTGTCAAGTTTGTGAACTTGACCTACCTCTTGGGTACCATGAAACATAAATGTCACCCAAAGAAAGCTGGAGTCAAATCATGGTGAGGTTGCAGCGGCACCTTCTCCCTCCCCGTTTTCTCCTGCTGGGGGGTGGCGCACGGTGGAGGCCACAGCAGTCCTTTGAGGACTGCAGTTTAACAGGGAGACGCGGACCAGTTCACGGGAATCTCAGGAGGGGGACTGACGGTAGATGTGACCTGTCAGCCGACCTTGGCACCACTGAAGCACCCAGCACCCCACCCCAACATCTTCTAGAAGGACTATTGTCCTGACACCACCATTTGAGAGGTTTCCTAAGTAATTTAGGGAACTGGTGCTTTGGGGCAGTCACTTTTACAAAGGGCTAGATAGAGTAGTTACCCTCAAAACAATGTCTCTGGCTCTCATTCCAATAAGCTTTCTTGAGTGAAAGGGGGAACAATCGAGGGAATTAGCGTGAGCTGGGTGTGGCTCATGGCCGCGGGGCTTCCCCTTCCAGCCGCGTGGGCTCTGAAATATCTGACATGGGAATACCATCTGCCACCCATCATGCATATACAGAGGAGGGACCACTCAGTAAGCACAGCAGACTGCCCGTCTATGCGGTGCTCCTCTGGCCAGGCCTGCACTAGGTGTTCTGGGTACATATGTACTTTACCTATAATCCTTACATCCATCTCACAGGGTGGATGTTGGCCCCATTTTAGGATGAGCAAACTGAGGGTCAGGAGGATAAGCAACTGTCTGACAACAAGATGAGCTACATAATTTGCAAGGCACGGTACAAAGCGGGACCGTAGGGCCCCCTTGTTCAAAAGTCATTAAGAATTTCAGGACAGCAATAGCAGACCACCACACCAAGAGTGGAGCCCTCTGGATCATGGGGCACTGAGCCACTACACAGGTTGTGTGCCCACAAAGCTGGTCCTGTCCAGCCACAGGAAGTCCATATGGAACTGGACTTCCGAACGCCTCTTGCACTGTCCCCTCCCACAGCCCGTGGAAATGCACACAAGGCCCCCTCCCCATCCTATCTGAGACACAGCAGCCAGGTACCTGGAGTAGCAGGAGAGGCCCGTGCTGACGATGGTGTTCAGCACAGCCAGCGTCAGGTAGTAGTCACGGAAGGCGGTGCACACCAGGGAGTCAGGGAACGAATATGCACCGTAGGCAATGGCTGAGCCTGGGGAAGAAAAATCAACCTTGGGCAAGAGGCCACTACTTGACACTGTCTGACCTGGTCGGGAAGGCCAACCCGAGCATGTGGCAGAGCCTCATCACCCCCACTGACCACGAGCAGTCCCGCTGCTACACCCTCGCGTGGGCCATCACCCCCGCCCGAATGCCCGCCTCTCCTCTGCCGACCCAGATCCTAGCCCGAGAATTTACACTGCTCCACAGGCTTTGCATATATTAATTCACATAATCTTTTTAAAAAACTTACTGATTTGGGGGTAGGGGGGTGGAGAGAGAGATGGATTTGTTGCTCTATGTACTTACCCAATCATTGGTTGCTTTCTGTGTGTGCCCTGATCAGAGATCCAACCCACAGCCTTGACAGATGGGGACAACACTCTAAGCAACTGAGCTGCCCAGCCAGGAACTCACATAACCTCTACAAAGCACAACCTGGCACTTACCACCACATTAAAGATGATGAAGCGGAGGCACAGAGCAGTTTAGTAACCCACCCAGGGCACACAGCTAGAAAGCAGCAAAGCTAAGCTTTAAGCGCAGGGCAATTTCAGCAACAGTCCCTGCTTTTAACTACATGCCATGGTCCATGGTGACACTCAGTATGGTAGCTTTGCTGTGAGGGTACACATGCCATCTGCCTGATGGCACAAGGTGCTCCTCACGGAAAGATCAAGGTGCAGGGAGGAAGGACCATTGCTGAGAGGAGGCGAATCATTCCGCAGGATGCAGGCCCCGCCAGTAGAGGGGCTGGATGCGAGAGGCTAGCCTCGGGTGTTTTGTTTTCGGTTTTGGCGTCTGTGAGAGAAGGGCTAACTAAGGAACTTCATGAGATCTGTCTGCTGCAGCTTTTATCTGAAAGAACAAGGAGATCCCTGTTTGGAGACCTAGATCAGGTGGCCTCTCCAGGCATCCTCACCTGCTGAAGGAGCCGGGCAGCCTTCTGGGAGGGGCAGCCACAGGCCATCAGCCCAGGGCCTGAGGGGTCAGGCCTTAGGTCGCCTGTTATTCCAAAGACAGAGAACTTGGAATTCAAGTTCAAGGCTGCCACAGGGCTCAGGGCCACACAACTTCTGCCTCCGATCCCATTTGACAGATGGAGTCTAGTGAAGCCAACTGGTGTTCGCAGGGTCACATGGGCAGAAAGGACCTAGAACTGCCACCTTCTGGTACAATATTTCCCACTCTGGCAGGCCACCTGCGGGGTTTCAGCTGGGAACTCCTCTGAGGGACACGCTCCCTTCTCCACCTGACACTAGACCAGGGCGCATTCGCTGTGTGCATGCTGTCTGGGGCCCAGGTGCCAAGATCCGTGGGTGGCACAGGAGCGAGGAGCCTCAGACCCTGCCAGGAACTGCAGTGAGAAGCAAACTGGACCAGAGCCTCCAGGCAGGTTGCAGTGTGAGGTGGGTGTTCCAGACAGGTGGGCGTACAGCCCCGGGGCTGGTGTCGGAAGCTGCCTTAGAAGGTGGGGAAGTCTGTCAGGGGCCTGCGGGTAGGGAGAGCTTCCCAGGGAAGCAGGAGATGGTGCTGGACGCCAGACTATGGAAAGTGAACTTCACCTTTCAGGAAATCGGGAGCAACCAGAAGGTTTCTTTTTTTTCTACATATATATTTTTAGATTTTATTTACTTATTTATTTTAGTGAGAGGGGAAGGGAGGGAGAAAGAGAGGGAGAGAAACATTGACATGAGAGAAATGTTGACTGGTTGCGTCTCATACACGCCCCAACGGGGGACCGAACCTGCAACCCAGGCGTGGGCCCTGACCGGGAACCGAACTGACAACTTTTCGCTTTGTGGAACGATGCCCAACCCACTGAGCCACGCCAGTTGGGCCTCTTTTCTTAAAAAAAATTTTTTCATTACAGTTTACATTCAATAGTATTTTGTATCAGTGTCAGGTGTAACCGGAAGGTTTCTGAGTGGGGATGACGGTGAAAGTGCAAAGATGGCGTAGAGGGAGGAGCAGCTGGAGATCAGGGGAAGCGGGAGCAGAGCCGCTGCCCAGGGACCCAGGGTTTCTGGAGGGTGGAGAAGCGTGTGGAGGGCAGGCGGCTGTAGACACGGAGCTGGTGTCCCAGAGGAACCCGCAGGCTCTCTCAACCACTGGGCTTCCCTTTCCTGTTTACTGAACGCCCATGTCAGGCACTGGGCTGCTGGCTGGAAGGCCAAATGTGAAAGCTACACGTCTGTCCTCTGGGAGCTATTCCCGGCGAGAAGCAGAGATGCAGGGACCACTGACAAGGCTGGGGACGAGAGCTGCATGGAGGTGGGTCCAGCCCCGGGGCCCTGGCTCTGCCATTGACAAGCTGTGTGACCCGGGCCACTGACCTTCACTGGGCCCCATTACTCTCGCCTATAGTGTGGGCACAATGATGGTCCCCACCTCAGGGGACTGCGGTCTGGGTACCTAGATCACCATGGTAATGGCTACCCTCCCATGTTTCTGAAGTGTTAGGCACTGTCCAAAGTGCTTCACTTCCCAAATGTGTTTAATCTTCACAACACTCCCATGAGGAAGACATTGTGCCAATTTCGTGGATGAGAGAATTGAGAATGAAGAGCTTAAGAACTTTGCCCAAGAGCATAAACTATTAGGCATGGTGACAGGAGGGCCACCAAGCATTGTGTTACGCCACCCCTTGGTGGTGTGTGTCAGGTGCTCAGCTCAGAGCCTGCCTCGTGCTGATTACTCCAGTATGCCCGCCCTCGCCATAGTGAGTCTGGGCAGGCGATCCGGGGCTGTGGGAGCTCCCGAACTAAGGGGTTTGGACTTCATCCCAGGCAGGAGGGAGCCCTTAAAGGTTTTAAGTGGGAGGGGTCCCCTGGTCAGAGGTGTTGTAGAGACCTCCCCCGGGCAGCTGGGTGGAAATTGGGTTTGGGGGGCAGAGAGGGGATTGTTGTAACATGCAGCGGGGAGGCATGAGGAGCTGAGCCACGCCAGTGGGGCAGAGCTCGTTTGAACAATATGACGACACTCAACTGAATATGCCGATCAGAGAGGACAGTAGAAGTGGGATGCGCTGGTGCAAGAGGGAGGGGGAACGGAGGGTTACTTACAGATTTCTGACTTGGAGGCAGGGCTGGGGAGACTGAGGACAGCCTAGGTCATAGCACGAGGGATGGAGCTCAAGCAAGCAGTTTAAAGTAGAGATGGGGGCTGGGGGCACCGCCCCCAGATGTGTTGGGGGATGGTGTGGCACTGAGGAGATCACCCAGGGAGCTGGGCCATGTCAGAGCGGAGGGGGCCGGTTCTGAGCTCACCCACATACGGAAGAGCGCTGAGAAAGGCCAGCCAGCAAAGGAGATGGAGAAAGGGGAGGGAGTGATGCACCAGGGGCCAGGGAGAGAGGGGGGCTTTGAGGAGCACAGGGGGCCCCTGCGTCCACGGCTGGAGAGAAGAGTCCACAGAGCTGCACGGATCCCAACGAGTCAGGAAGAGGATGGGGCCTCAGCAACCAGTTTTAGTGAATGGAGCGGGCTGGGCAGCAGAGCACTGAGGAGTGGGAGGCGAGGCAGTAAAGACCCTGTGTGCATGTGTGTGCATATGTGTATTATGTGTGTATATATGTGTACATGTGGTATGTCTGTGTGTGTGTCTATGTGTAACTTGTGGAGAAAAAGAGGAAATGGGATAGGGATGGGGTCCTCATGTACCCCCTCTTAGAGAAGAGAAGACAATGCCATTGCTTTCCTACCTAGAGCAGGACCAGGAGGGAGAAGAGGCTAGAACTGGGAGGCAAAGGGACAGATGGATGCCCACAATGGTGGAGAGGAGAGGAGACGGCAGGAGGGGACATCGTAGTTAAAGGAAAACATAAGAAGGTAGAAGTGTCAACACCCAACCTCACTAGCTTGGGGTTCTCCACTCTGTTCCTGTGGCACTTTGAGAAAATCACTCCTCTCAGCCTCTGGACACATGGGGTTCAGGACCACTCCACTTCTCTGCCAGACACAAGGCAGACCGGCACTGATGTGTGCGTTGGCCCACCCTGGCCTGTGAGAGCAGATTGTTAGTTTCAGAGAACTTGCGAGCCCATTGTTAGACACGGCCATTGTTAAAAGTTAACTGACGTAAACTTACAATTAAGTAAGTCATATTAACAAAAGTAATAACTATTCAATTAATCCATCACTGTGTTAGTATAGAGGAATTACTACGTCATGGTGTGCTACTATGTCTCTCTCCCCACTCCTGTGTTCAGTGACATCATGGTGGTGGCTTGAAGTCTGACAACATATGGGAGTATTTATACGACAAATCAGCAAAGGCCACAAATCAGGGCTTTTGTCCCCAGAGAACCAGTTGTTGAGTATTGCCAGCACATCTTTGGGAAGATTATAAAGTTGCTTATAAAACACTCATTGGGAACCTTGATGGGGCACTGCATTCCTGCAACCCTTCTCAAGCCCACCAAAGCCCTGGTGGTGACCCCCGCTCCCAGGAGAAGGGGCAGATGGCTCAGTTCTGGCAGAGGAAAGTTGAGAGCAAGAACTCACGTACCCAGGCTGAAGAGGTTGACAGCGCCATAGTCCAGGAAGTAGCAGATGTGTCGGGCATTCTTGGACATGGAGCTGAAGGTGTGTGCACAGCTGGACACAAGGGGGTACACGCAGCTGGTGCTCATGTACACAAGCAGAGGCCAGGAGTAGCTGTCATTCTGGACATCTATCACAAGCAGTGCAGTCACAAACCTCCACATGAAGAACCTGGAACACATCATGGCCCACTCAGTCCCTGTGGCTGGGGCTCCTCTTATTTTCCCCTCCTGACTATCTTCTACCTTCTGCTCCCCTGGGATTGCCAGTCCCTACAAGTTCTCACTTTTGTGAAATGCTGGGAGCAAGGGAGGGTGATTATGGCCCTTTTTTAGTTGGAAATAAGCAGAAGGGGCAAAAAGAGAGTCTTTTATTTAGTCTAGTCCTCTCTCCCTGTTTGTGATGACAGATCCCTCTAACAGCATCTTGCCAAGTGATTCTCCAGCCTCAACCTGCATGCTTCCAGGGATGGGGCGCTCACCACCTCCTAAGATAGTTCTGAGTGTTAGAGAGTTCTTCATTGAGCTGCCACCTGTCTCCCTGGAGTCTCTCTCCATTTGATCAGCCCTAATCCTTCCAGACAGAACTGTAGAAAACAAGCCCATCACATATCTTAAGGCAGTCTTCATAACCCCTCCCCACCTCTTTGAACTTCACATGAAATAACCCCAGTGCATTCAACCATTCCTCCCAGGATCCACATTTGACCTGGTCACCATCTCTGGGGTTTGTCTGTGTCCCCCTTACAGAAGGCTCCTCAATCAGAAGCCATCCCCCAGGCGAGGCCCCGAAAGTCCAGTGACTAGCCGGATGTTTTCCGCCCTTCCCTCCCACACTATTCTTCCACTAACACTGCAGTCACTTTTCTGAGTGGCCAAGGCCCGTGCTGAGTCTCAGATGAGCCTGGGTCTCTGGGCTCCATCTCCACACAGCAATACTGCACACTTCTGCATCAGATCTGCCTAACCCCACGCAAGAGGGTCCTCTCTCCCAACCTGCCCGCTTCCACCATTAAGGAGCCAGACCCCTTCCCTTGAACTCTCCCAGAGAAGGAGACTACAAGGTTTTCATACAGGAACCCAAAGGGCATCACTAAATCCTCTGGTTGTACTTGGGATCTTTTTCATCCTGTTCCAGCGGAAATGAAGCTTCAACTATTTGCTGTTTCTCAAAACATATCCTTTGATCACCTCGATATTATTCCCTAGTGTCTTTTCCTTAGGGCGTCTTACTCCCAGCTCTCCCGAGCCCTCCTGCTACTCTGCGTAGTTCAGCCGGGCCTGGCCGTGCAGGCCCGCTCAGCTGTCAGACGGCTAAGCAGTCATCCCACAGGGTCTGCCCACAGGGCTCAGGCCGCACAAACCAGGATGGTCAGGTCAGCACGCAGGGTGTCCAAACTTTTGGTGTCTCTGGGCTACGCTGGAAGGAGAATTGTCTTGGGCCACACATTAAATACATTGCAAAATGTAATCACAAAATAATTTCATCATGTTTTCAGTAAATTTATGATTTTGCATTCAGCCGCATTCATAGCCATCCTGTTCTGCATGCAGCCCGCGGGCCACAGGTTGGACACCCCTGCTAGCGGCTCAGACTTTAAAACAGCCTGAATCACCTGTGGTTCATCCATAAAATGGACCGTATGCAGCTGTTTCAAAGCCTGAGAGGCTGTGGTCAGGGCTCCCCAGGGAAGCAGAGCAGGGGAAGAGGGGCAAAGGGAAGAACTAGGCTCTGGGCGACGGACATGTCACGGGTGCCCCTATTTCTAGAAGAGCTCCGGGGGGATGCACGAGAAGCAGGTCACCTGGCAGCTCCAGGGAGAAGAGGGGCCAGGGGAGACGGTGACTCTGTTCCCTTCTGCAAGTTATCATTTGTTAGCATTTAGACTTTTTGCTAACAAATGATTTTGCTAAGTAAGGTTTACTTACATTCAATATGACAAACAGCCTCCTTGGGCAGGATCTCGCTGCCGCCCCGACCAGTCAGCAGGATGTAGGCTTCCTTACAGATCGCCCTAGTGCACCACAGGCCTGAATGCTCTCTCCTCCCCCGGGAAGGTTTCGGGCACGTTTCCCTGCATTGTGGCTCCAGGTTGGTCTCTGCCTTTATGGAGCACGTTGCCTTCTATGGGCCCATCTCAACCTGCGCACGCTCTGGGTCCCTCAAACTCTGTTGGCTTCTCAACATGATTTGGAGGGGAGTCCAAGGACCAGCCTGTGCTCTGACAGTGTAATGTATGCAAGCCACCCCCCTTCTCTGGGCCACATCTTTGTCTGCCCATGGCAATCTGAGTGGGAGGGTGGCCAGCACGACCTCTGAGGTCCTTCCAGCGCTGACATACAATGATTCGGCCTCTGACTTCATCTCCACTCTCCCCTCGCTATGTAAAAGCACGAGGTATGTGGAGCTGCTCTTGGGACCCCGCCTACTTTCTCAGCAAGGACCTTGCTCTCTTCACCTTCCTTGCAACTCCTGTTCGTGCGTCCGTGTGCGTCCCAGAGCTTAGATCTTAGCTATTCGATTCAAATGCTGCCTGACCAACTGCCTGCAGCTGCTGTGTTTCTAGAATGGTTATGGGGCACCCACAGCTCTGTGCCCAATGCTTCTGGAAGACCCAGGAAGCCTTCAAGACTGGAGGGGATAAGATCAAATCAGGCCCGAGAGCAGGGGAGCAGAGGAGCAGGGGAGCAGGGAAGACTGTGGAACCACCAGGAGTCCCACGAATCCTACCACAATCCATGACCTAAAGCTCAACTCAGCTCCACACCCACCCACCATTGGGAATCCCCCAAATCTCAGCCCTCCCAACCCCAGCTGTGTTTCAAAAAGGTCCGGATTCCCAGGGCTCCCGAATGAGATGGCTGGTCAAGGGGGCTGGAAGGTACCAGAAGGGCAGCAAGTGAGTCCAGATGTTGAGGGTCTCATTGGTCATTTGGAAGAGGCTGAGGATACAGGCAGTGGCGGAACTCTGTGGGTGTCGGTAGCCAAACAGGATGCCCTGCTCATGGAACACCTGTAGGGGGCGAAAAAGGGGCACCGAGGTGACACAAGAGGGTGGTAGGGAGGTCTCAGGAGGGACATCTCTGGTAGCATCTTGTTTTCTCCCAGGCTGTGCACTTGAGAACTTGAGTACTTGAGCCTGGAACACGACCCCTGTCAAAGTGCCCCCCCCCCAATCATAGCTTCTAAAATCCCACGTCCTTGAAGAAGCCTACAGCCAGCTGGCAGAGAGGATTCAAGTCCCTGGCTCCCTTCAGAAATCCAGTCTGTCTTCCATTCTCAGACACACTTACTCTTGTCATGAATATTGCTTAAGAATCTGGTTTGGCACCCTCTGCCTGGGGCCTACAGCCTGGTCCTTCAATGCCCTTGTGGCTGGCTCACATATGTGCTGTCTGTCTGAGCTGACATGCCCCAGATGTTAGGGGGGTGTGGGAAGGTCTCTGCAGAAGATCCCTCTTGAATATATTCACCAAGGCGCTTCATAAAGGCCTTTTGATGATGAAGACTATGATGGCATCAGCCCGGGCTGAGGTAGAGGAGAGAGCTGGCCACTGCAGACCCACATAAGCCACTCTCCCCAACACAGCCCATGTGGCATGTCTCTCAGTAGCCAAGTCCCCATGAGAGACTTGGGCTGTCAGGTAAAATACGGGCTGTCAACATGCCTGAAGAGCTGCGTTACATCCATTAAAAATGGTCATTGTGAAGACACCGAGGCAAGAGGGATGAAAGCTCAGGAGGCAATATTAGGTGAAAAGAGTAGAGTGTAAATTGTATTCCGGCCATGATTATAAGAACTACAGAAATTTCAGTACATGCAGAGATTGGGAGGCAACAGAAAAGTGGAGAGTTTCATTTGCTGAGGTAGCAGGATTTGTAGGACACCTTTTTCCCCCTTTGTGTTGATTGGGATCAGAGTTTCTCAATCTCGACACCATTGACACTTTTGGCCAGATAATTCTTTGTTCTGGGGGCTGTCCTCGGCGTTGTTTAGTAGTGTCCATGCCTCTCCCTAAAAGGTGCTAGGCTCTGACTGGTGTGATTCAGTTGGAGCATCATGCGAAATGAAAGGTTGCCGGTTCAATTCCCGTCAGGGCACATGGCTGGGTTGCAGGTTTGGTGCTTGTTCAGGGCAAGTATGAGAGGCAACCAATCGATGTTTATCTCTCACATCAATGTTTCTCCTCCACCCTCTCTTCCCCTGTCTCTAAAATTAATCAATGAAACCTTAAAAAAAAAGCCAGTAGCATACACTGTACCCCCCTCCCACGTTGTGACAACCAAAAACTGTTTCCAAATATTGCCAATATCCTCTGGGGGTAAAATCTCCCCCAGTTAGGAATCACTGATTTAGGTGAATGTTGTTAAAACCTTTAAAAGGTAAGTTTAAAATGAGTAGATAACCAAGGCAAATAATAATGATAATATCAGTAATCATAATACACATCAGGTCACAATAAATTTTAAGTCTTTCTCTTTGATTTTCTAGGACTGTGGGAGGAAGGGCAGGCTGGGAGGATTCCAACTGAGCCACTCATCTCTCATTTGAGCTACCAATTTCTTAGAGAGGATCCCAACTCAAAAATACACACTACAGAGCATAACTTGTACCAACTCTTGAGGTTCTATGTTAAGAGGTCACTTGAAATAGAGGAGAAATAGGGGGTTATTAGAGTAAAGAGTCAAATGTAGGCCACCAAGGTGCCACATGACCTTGAGCTGGGTCACACCCCTCAGGGCCTCAGTGTCCTCCCCTATGAAACGGGAGGCGTCAGCTAGCTGGATGGTCAGTAGGCCCCCTTCTTAGTTCAACTGTGGGTTAAACTGGTCGTCCGGGGGAGGAGGATAATGACGTTGGTTCATAGTTCGGTTCAGTGAAGGAATATTATTTGAATTAGATTTGGGTCTTAGCTAATTAAAGCGATTTGTTCCAGTTTCAGATTCACCATTCAATTCTGCTGACATCCTGGCTTACAGTGGCCAGGCTTCCCCGACGGGCAGCGGGGATTTGGCTCGCAGCCGCCCCCCCACCAGGGCTGCCGGCAAGGAGGTGAATGGCCGACGGCCTTCGGCCTTTGATCCATGTGAGAGGATGGTACGGGCTTGGCATGTACTCAGAAGGCCCTCCTGTAGAAACTATGGGTAGAATATTTCATTCCACCTCTTACATATCTTTCTTTCTTCCTTAAAAAAAATTCTTTTTTTTAAATTAAAGCACTGGCCACTTGTTAAAATGCAAAGACTCCAGAAAGAAGCAATGGTTACTACGCACTTCTTCCCGTGGAGGAGTTTAGCAGATCCTGTGCAGCAGGTCTCGTGACAAGGGCCCCACAGACCCCTGGGCATGCGCGATGGGGCACAGAGGGAGGAAGCAAGGTGGGGCTGCAGGACAGCTGGACACAGTGGACCACAGGTGGGCCGTGGATGGACACTAGCCAGAGAGGGAGACCCCCTCCATTTTGTCCAGGGTGACTCAAGGTGTCGTGACTACTGTCCTTTTCTCTTTGGGTCCTGAATTTCAGGAGGCAAGAAAGGGTGCTGACATAGTCAAAAGCCAGAGAGAATAGAAGGGCCAAGAAATACACAAACCGGACACCTTGACCACACTGAAGAATCTGGCCCAAACTTGGAGAGGTAGCTTATCATCGGAGCCCTCTGAGCTGCTGTCCCGATGCCGGACGTGAGTGGGAAGCCAACACGAACCCTGCCATGGGGGCAGGAGTTAAAGCAGCCCCCTCCCCGCAAAGTACAGAAGGATAAAGGACAGATGAAAGACAGAGTCGCTCTGTCCAAGAACAGTGACATTCTGGCCCGGCCCTCCGTTCCCCATGATGTATTAGGTCACACTGCCAGGTGCACGCCAGTACCGAGCCCCCTCTGAGCCCGGGGAAGGGGGCTCGTTCTCCCCATCTGCGCACGCCAGCGTTGGCAAAGCACTACTCTGCATAGAGTAGATCTTAACAGAGTGCATGCTACATAAATCTAAACAAACGAAACATTTGAAAACAATTTTGTATTCACACCCAGTTTGACCCCAAAAGGCAAATTGCAATCATTGCCTTAATGCTCTGTAGCGGGACCTCATTTCTAAGCACCCCCAGGTTAGCAGGCGCCAGCTTATTTGCACAGCAGAATTGATTTGTAGGACTCTGCCTTGCATCCCTGGTTGCAGGCTGGGCAATTTACAGTGAAATGAAATCAAATTGTGCACAGCCTATTATTTAGAAGTGAGAAGCCCCAGGCACCAGGGTGGAAGGGCACGTCAGCAGGTTTTCCTTTTAGTGCCGGCCACGGGCTTGCCTTCCACAAAAGACCCGGTGCACCTGCCAGCTGATGCCTGACATTCCACCGTGACAGTTTTAAACCCTTGGTTTTTCTAGCTATTAAATTGCAAATCACCTGGGGAAAATAATCGGGCATTCTGGCTGGTGGCAAATAAGTGGATTTTAATAGCAGGTGAAGGGGAGAGGCAGAGCGGGGTCAGGAGGCTGCAGGTGCCATCAGTGCGGAAGCCTGCGTGTCCTGTCCAAATCGCATGGCATCCCCATGGCTCTGTGAGGGGGAGCCTTCTATTGTCCCCATTTCATGGAAAAGGGAACTAGGGCCTGAAGAGGTTAAGGCAAGTATCCAACATCCCAGAAATAGTGGGAGCAAAGCGCGAACTTAGATGCAAACATCAGACTCCATCTCCCCAGCCTCTGACTCTGCCATCGCTGCTGCTCAGATGGGCTCTGTCGGAGGTGAAGCTCTCGTCTCTTGGCCTACAGGGTGATTTTGGACTGACACGTACGTCTCTGAGCCTCAGTTTCTTCTTCTTCAAAGTGGTGTTATGGTCTGAATTGTGTCCACCACAAAGTTCCTATGTTGAAGCCCTAATATCCAGTACTTCAGAATGTAACTGTATTTGGAGACAGGGTCTTTAAAGTCGTGATTATGTTAAAACAAGGCCACTAGCGGGGTTCCTACTCCAATCTGACCAGTGTCCCTTATAGGAAGAGGGAATTGGACACATGGTGACACGGGTGTGTGTGAACAGAGGAAGACCACATGAAGAAGCAGTAAGAAGGTGACAAAGGTGACCCTCTGCAAGCCAAGGAGGTACCTTCAGGAGAGCCAACCATGTTGGCACTTTGACCTTGGACTTTCAGCCTCTAGAATATGAGAAAATAAATTTCTGTTGTTTAAGCCAGACAACCTGTGGTGCTTTGTTATGGCAGTCCGAGCAGCCTAACACAAAAGTGGTAAGGTTAGGTGACAAAGTCCCTCAGCCAGGGCCTCTCCAACTTTCTTCTGCAGCTGCCTGCAGATCACCCGGGGGTCTTACTGCTGTTGGGTGGGGCTGGGGTGAGAGTCTGTATTTCTCACAAGCTCCCCGGGCATGCTGACGCTGCAGCTGCCTCTAGCTTCACAACCTGGGCTCCTGCCTCTACATCCTGGTGCTGCCTCCCTGCCTAGAATCCAGTACATCACAAGAGAGGAGGTTCCCTTAGGTAAGGGGGACAAGATGAACCCAAAAACCTGGGCATGAAAAGCCGGGGCAGGAGATAGAGACCAGTGAGGAGTCCAGGGAAGTGTTGCAGGCAGGCAGCTCAGAGAGAGTGGGGAGGGAAGAAGGCAGGGCACAGGCTGCCGCAGCAGCAGTTCCAACCTGTCATTTAGTGAGTGCCCGCAGTGCACGGGGCTGGACACTAAGCACTGTCTCATGCAGGACAATGCTTGGTCCTGGCAGGAGAGAACGCTTAGGTTCTCGATTAAATATCACTTGCACATAAGTCATATGCAATTACCTGAATTGTAAATATGCTGAATTAATAGGTGACCATTGTTGGTATTAAGCCATTATAGGTAAATGCTAATTTAGAACACTGGTGTGATATTATTTACAAAATAACTATTCAACATCCAGTAAGGATGTTTTTTTGTACAAGCAACATAGTGTTTGTAAAAGATGGTGGTAAATTTCCCCTGTCCAAAAATATAAGGAGGATGAAAGGCAATGAAACAAATTAT